TCCCTCTCTCTCACCCCCCCCCTACTCCTTCTGCCTTACGAATTGAGGATGTTCATGGTCTTGCAGTTGCAGTGAGGGAGGAAACTGGGTACTGCACTGGGTCATGATGAGTTTAGGGCGGCTTCCACGCTAATGTTGTTCCACACGACTGAAGGATCGTTCTACAGAAGATCGTTCTAGCAGACGAACTGCAATAGGAACTGCCGCTTTCATGTGTCATATACCCCTGATACTTTTTCATCAAAATATCAATCAGCCCGTCCAAGCTGCACTCTTTAGCTTAGAAAATATTCAAAAATGTCAAAGATTTCCAAATGTAGATGTTCGATTTCAATTTCTTTCATGGCAGAGCGAGTTTTTCGGGAGGGCTATCCATTATCCGGGATGGGAATAGCGAAAAGTATGAATGATGACACTAGCGAGTGTAACCATTCGAATAAATTGCTCGCTCATCCTTTTTATTATTTTTTTGTGGTCCAGCGCGCCATTATATTTGCTCAACCTAATATTATGAAATACGGAGACATCCGGTTTTCATATGAGTGCATAAGGGCATGGAGATTCGAATATGAAACGCGCGTATTAAAGGCTGAGCCCGCATTCAAATTTGATGAGTTATGCGGCTCAAATACTTATAACAAGGTAGCAAGTAACCCCTTAGTGAAGAAAAATCAGAAAGAAATCATAGGAAAGGCTCTATATATTAGGTTGTCCGGAAAGTTCTCAGCGTTTTGTGCACCTATTTTTTGTACATTCACTGCTGATTAAAAACTCATTCTGCCTTGCTTCTCAGTAGCACATCCTGTAGAGAATTTCTTGCGCTATCTGATGGTATAATTGCCGTTTCACCATTGCTTGATAAACCCTCCTTTTTTCAAGATTTTTTCAAGCATGTGAAAAGAGCACTTCGGACGATTTTTTTCTTCGACTATAAATTGGGGCAATCCGCAATCGAAACAGCTCAACAAATTAACCAGGTGTGGGGCCCAATAGTGCTAGAGAAAGCACTGTGCGGCAATGGCTCAACAAATTTCGTTCTGGAGATTTCAGCCTTGAAGATGAACCTCATAGCGGTCGACCTAAAGCAATATCTGACGAGGATTTTAGGGGGATTTTGGAGGCTGACCCATCCCAAACAGTTCGAGAGATAGCAGAAGAGCTAGGCCTTGGCAAATCCACTGTTGCAGATGGTCTGGAACGCATTGGGAAGGTGAAAAAACTCGACAATTGGGTGCCCCACAATCGGAGTGACCGGCAGGAATCGGCACGTCTCGAGGTTCCTTCTGCATTGCTTTTGCGCAGCAGAAACGACCTGTTTTTGGGCCGAATTGTCACCTGTGATGAAAAATGGGTCATGTATGATAACAGGAGACGTTCCGGACAGTGGTTGGATTTCGACGAACCACCGAGGTAATTTTCAAAGCCGAACCCTCACGAAAAAAAGATTCTGGTCACGGCTTGGTGGTCATCGGCTGGTGTGATCCACTATAACTTTTTATCACCAGGCCAAACCATCACAGCAGAACCCTACTGTGAAGAAATCGACGAATTGTACCGAAAATTTTGTCAGATGCAGCCAACACTTATCAAAAGAAAGGGTCCGATTCCTTTGCATGACAACGCCCGCCCACACGTTTCACAAATCACTATCCATAAATTGAACGAATTGGGGGTTGAAGTTCTACCTCAACCGCCATATTCTACCTTTCGCCAACCGACCTTTTCTAACATTTGCCTTAGTGGATTTCGTGAATTTTCGACCACCCAGTTTTTTTATTTGATGGGATTTCTCGACTGCTGTCACATTGGCAAAAGTGTGCTGATTCGAATGGTGCCTATTTCGATTAAATCCGATGAGTATTAAAAAAGTTACGATCGTTTAAAGTGAAACACCCAAAACGCTGAGAACTTTCCGGACAACCTAATAGCAGTGCTCGTCTAGACTTCACATATAATACATGTACACCACTGCAACCTCCCGCTCAAAAGTTTTACAGGTTAAGGAAGTAGCCCCCCAAATTCGAACACATAGTTGTGGTAGAATTTAGTCAAAAATGTAGCTTGTTGATTGCAATAAGTCTATGTGAGGAATACGGGATGCCTCAAACTCGTCGCGTTGTGATCATTTCCTGTCCTGATAAATACGACCACCCCAATTCCATTTTCAAATCCCCGCCCCCTCCCCACGCTACCTACCATCTTTCTGGATTTTCCCAAATTCCTAACACTTTTCATTTTTTCCCGAGAAATTTCCAGTTTTTTCAGCCGAGAATTTTCAGGGAGGGGGAGTCGTGGATTTGAAAAACATTCTTAAGCTTCGGAAATAGGAGTTGTATAGATCTTTGGCAGTCCCTCTGCCAACCAAATACGACCCCAACAAGAGAAATCAGCT